AATGTGATTAACTCTATTAATGCATAAATTAGTTTTGATATGTTTTATATACGATTTTACCATACGATAAACATTTTCATTATATTTATATATATATATATATATATTTAGCTTTATTAAAAACCAATCAATTTAAGTATTAATTTTCCCTCCTTTTTTTTTTTTTTTGTTTAATGGCGTCGTTTATTTAAAAAACATAAAAAAGAAATTGTCATTTAAAAATCTAATTTAATCCATTAAAGGCTTTTGTCAGTGAATGTATTTGAATTTAGAAAAAAAAAAAAAAATTTGTTGTTGTTGTTGTTTGTTTTGTTTTTTTTTTTTTTCTGGAAAAAATTGTATAAATTGAAACGGTTTTAATTCAATTTGATTTGTTTTGATTTTCTCTCTCCCCCCCCTCTCTCTCTCTCTCTCTCTCTCTCTCTCTCTCTCTCATGTTATCCCATTTGTTTTTGTGTACATATATATATAATTTTTTTTTTAGTGTTTACTTCGTATTTGGAAATTAATTTAATCCGAAATTTTCTTTTTTTTTTCCTCCCCCTCCCCACCTTCCCCCTCCTACCCCTCCTACATCGTCGTTGCGTTTGTTTTATTTTTATTATTGTTTTTTTTGTTTTGTTTTTTTTGTTATTCCAGGTTATCGTGATTGATTACACGTATTTTTGTAATTAATTAATTTTTTTTTTCTGTTTGTATTCGAAGGGTGGGAAAGGGGAGGGAGAGGGAGGAGGAGGGGTGAAATTTTAAAATTTTAGTCGTTTGTTAGCATTTAATTTTTTTTTTTTCTGTTTCCCCTTTTGTTTTGTTGTGGAATGTTTTGTTTTGTTTTTTTTTTTTTTCTTTCCATTTTTTAAGAAAAAGGTTTTTCTTTTAAATAGTCTTCTGGTTAATGTTTGTTTCTTTTCTTTTTTTTTTAAAAGATTTCCAGTTGAAAATTTTGTTCATTTTTCACTTTTTTTCTTTCCTTCGTAACCGCAAACGAAGGACTCGAGTAAAAATAGTTTAGAATGTTTTGTTTGTTTTTTTCTTCTTATTTTTTTTAACTTTGGATAAACGTAAGAAAATCAAAAAAAAAAAAAATGTTTTGGAAAAAAATGTAATTTTTAGTTTTTCTTTTTCGGATCGGATTCCAGGGAAAAAAAAAAAAATGAATGAAAAACAAAAAAATTCATGGCATTGCTACGGTTTATTAGTTCCATCAAGTTCTACTTACTACAGTTTATTCAAAAGATTTGTCATTGTTTACTTTTGCAATAAAGAAGAAAAATGAGGGTTAAAAGAGGGTAAAAAAAAAAGAAAAAAAAGTTGGAGAGAGAGAGAGAGAGAGAGAGAGAGAGAGAGAGAGAGAAAATGATGGAGGAATGACTTTGAATGGTAAGGAGTGGAAAAGTTGAGAGAAAAAAAAAAAAAAAAACAAT